CCGATCTCTGCCAGACAGCCCCGCTGCTCCCAACCCTGCGCCAGCCGCCCACCTGCCTTCCCCCATCTCCATGGGACAGCCCTGCTGCCCCCAACCCTGCTTCCCGGCAGCCGGTTCCCCGCCCCCCCCCACACCTCCTTCCAGCCTGTCCCGCTTTGCTCCCCTCCCGGCAGCCACGCTGAGGCCTGGCATATTTTTCCCGCGGCCCAGTACTGGGCCGTGGCCCATAGATTGGGAAACGCTGGACTAGCAGATTTATGGGATCATAAGCTTTCTTGGGCAGTTCTAAATATACAGGCACATGAAAAGAGTACCAATCAAGAGTAAGGCTAGAGATAACAAGGTCAATTCAGTCAGGGAAGATGAGGCCCACTTCTGGCAGCTGATGTGGAGGTGTGAACACCAGGAGAGGAGAAACTGCTTTTGTAGTTGGCTAGCCATTCACAATCTTTGTTTAATCCTAAACTGAAAGTGTCAAATTTGCAAATGAATTCTCAAAGAGAAACTGCAGAAACTCGGGGCTGGCGGGGGCATAGCAGCCATTCTACCTGAGAACTGGGGCTGGCACCTGGAGGTGCAAAAACTCTTGCGCAAAAAGTATGTAGGGTAGACATAGTCAAAGCATTTGCGATCTAGATATGTGAGGGATTATGGAGGGATGCTGCTGTAACTTGTGCTATTTGGTCCCTCCTCCTGGTCCCCCCCAAAACACTTACTGTCCCCAATAAAGTCAAATAATGGCTATGTGTGTGTATCACCATGCTGATTGTGGAAAAGATTTCTGAAATACCAAAACCACAGAAATGTCATTTTCTTTTGCTGCCTGATTTGGTGTTTACAGAAAAATGTAAGCTGGTTTCTGCATGAACACCTTCTTCAAAGAATGCTATTGGTACTGTGTTTAAATAAGACAGATTTTCAGTTTTTCAGGCCAAAGGAGTATGAGGGTAACATAGCTGTATACCAGAAAAATAAATAGAAAAAAAATAGAACAGGATCTTCGGGGACTAATGTCTACTTGGGTCCATACACAAAAAGAAGCCATGTTCAGATGCCTGCAGGCTACTGTCACCACTTTAGAAAACATAGTACAAAATTTCTGCTACTGAAGAGAATATAATCATCATCCAGAAAACCCAAATAAAAAGTAATGTTTTGTTTGATCATGATTTGAAGTGTTACCCTTCACTAAACTTGTGGAAAACCTTAAGTCCTTCAGCAATTGGCTATTAATCAAATCAGCCTGTAGAGGGCCTTCTTGCACTGAGAGCTTTTATTATAAAATCCTCTGTTAAAATGACATCTGCAAAAGCAGGGAGAGGGAATACTATGGATGCTATGCTTATTTTACAAAATCCTTGAATGTCAGTGGTCATAATATGTGAAATTTTATATTAAGTTCTTTAGAAACCATATAGTAGCTTTAAAGCAAGCCAACATTAAAATCGTGACTAACTATAATACTGCATTTAGTTTATTCATCTTTATTCTGAAAGCATCTTCCAACAAATATGTAAAACAAAGGAGAAAATTCGGAGTAATAGTACATCTATTTGTTTCTGCTTTGAAAACTACATATACTTGTATGGATTATTCCAAGAGGTAATAGATACTGTGTTGAATATATTCTGACAAATTTAAAAGACATTCAGTGAAAACAAACAGAATTAAGGACAGCAATAAACAATAGATCTACTATACAGGATCAATGCAGTGGTCTCTCTATTCCAAGTTCCAGCATCTATGCACATGCTCCACTATCCCAGTATTCCTCCCCACCCCATCTCCAACACACACTCCACCCCACTCCCGCCCTGTATTCACCCCACCCCGTGTTCCCCACACACTTCACACCTCCTGCATTCATCTCTGGCCTGTATCCCTCACACACTCCACCCTGTTCCATTACTCCCTGCACTCACCCCACCCGGTGTCCTGAATACACCCCACCTTCTCCATTACCCCCTGGACACACCCCACCCATGTCCCCCACAGTCCATGCGCTCCATTACAACCCGGTACTCCCCCCCTCTTGTCCCTCACACACCTCACGTTCTCCATTATCCCGCATACTCACCCAACTGCTCCATTATTCCCAGTCACCCCACGTCCCTCCTATACTCACCTCCTCCCTTTGGCATCCCCACGCCCCACCCTATTAGCCCTTTGCTTACCCCTCCCAGGTGTCCCCCACCCCACACCTCCCGGGACCCACCCTTCCCAGTTGGTTCCTCCCCCATCCACTCCCCTC